TAAGTTTTCAATTTGCAAACCTGATTTATACCATCCCAGCCAAAGGAAGGAAACTGATTCACGCTAGCTCAGAATCTGGCCTTGAAAGCTTAAACGTGGTGAAGCATTTTAATGTTCTTTGAATCCATCCACCCCTTCCCCAAGGGATAACAAACTTATGGTTTATTTGGATTTAAAAGTCATCGGGGTTGGAACCATAGCTGTTCTTCATCAGGGAACCCTCTGCAGGTCTTCCCAGCCTCTCTGCCCACCATGGACATCTTTCTTTTCCTTTGCTTGTCTCCAACCCCAACAGCAACACATCTGAATCTCCTGGTGTGTGGGAAGCCATCCAGCATCTGCCACCAAATGAGAGGTCTAACTCTCTGCAAGGTTGGGGAGAGGTTGCTTTTCCAGCATACTTTTCATATATTGAGGTCAGTGGCAATACTTTAAGAGAGTCAGGTGAGACTCGCTGTGATTCAAGTGGATTAAGGGTCTAATCCACTGACAGGTATATTGTGTGCATCTATTTTCTCATAGTAAATTATTTTTAAGAAGTTATATGGCAAAATTTGCTCATTGTCCTCTATACATCAGCCAAATTTAATGTTAAAAAACAAATTCTCTGCATCGTTTTGAAAGCAACCTGAACTAGCAACTTGGAAATTCAAAGCAACCTAAAGCATTTCAGGGCTTTCCAGCTTCCCATGTGGCTCTTCAGAAACCATGCTCAGCTCCATGCTGCCTGGCTACAGGTCTTTCAGTACCTGCCCAAGTTCAGTTACACTCCAATTTGTCTTTATGAATGCTAATTGTTGCCTGACTGGAGCATACACCCATGTATGGAGCAGTTTAATATTGCACTCGGATACAGAGATCAGAATTACAAAAAGGATGTGTGCAAGCATCAAAAGATGCAAACCACACTCAGTAAGGAGAGCTGCACCTAACTTGCTCATATGCTTTCAGAAACCTCAGTGGATTAAATCTTTCAAAGCACTTGATCAGTCTCATGATTACATCTGAGTCCTTGCAGGTGCCAGCAATGACATTATAGATCCAGCACAGCCAAGACTAGAGAAAAACCTCACCTGAGTGACAGATGCCACAACCTGAGGACTCTGTGTTTACTTGCATAATTGATCATATTATATATGCACAAAATGCTTTCAATTTCCCAGAAACTTAATGCATTTTAATATCTGGACTAAACTTTGGATACAAAGCCAAATTCATTAATGAATGTGTCATTCCAGGAGAATGAATGTCAGCTCAGGGCAATGCCACTCTGGGATCCCCCCCAGCCTTACACTATTTCACGTCTGCCCTGGATGGTCTCTGGCAGGCAGTGTTCCCCCACAGTTACGACCTTTCAAGCATCGAAATGAAGCCAAGAAACCCTTAATGACCATGTGAAACACTTCCTGCCTAGCGCTTGTCTCTCCAAGAGAAGGCATGTGCTTCAGGCTCCGGTCTAACACAACTGATATTACCTGACCTACAGCTCCTGTGATGCAGGGATCTGGCACACATTAACCAGTGTGTGTCCCTAACAGGGTGTGAGGATAAATACTGAAGCCAAACAGATGGTCTTCTAAAAATCTTCCCTAAAGTGTTCTGTGTACTAAAACATCACTTACCCAACTCTCATCAAACTTGGCTTGATTTGTAAGCCTCAAGCCAAGTTTGAAGAAAAATATTCAGCTGGAAACATGAAGGGAAAAGAGTCTTTCTCCTGCTCTTGAATAATATAAAAATGAAAGAATTTTCTTCAAACCTTAGAAAATTTTAAGAAAAATAGAGCCCAACCCTCTTGGGTTTAAACCAAACACTGGGGAAAAAAAAAGCGACACAGAATGCAATGTGATGAACAAATGAAAATGAGAAGTGGAAGGAGAACTGGAGCTAGAATGTATAATGACCTACCAACACATTCTATAATGCACACAGAATTTCAGCGAAGACAGAAATCACATCTGCACTGAAGATGGGCAGCTATTGTTTGAAAGCACAGAGCAATGTTGCACAACACTTCAGGGTCCTGATTTTGCTGTCACACACCCACAAATATAGTCACTCACCAGTAGTCCTGACTAGCAACAACTGGGTACTCAAAATAGTAGCCACTAATTTTAGCAGCATGTTCAGGATTAGCAACAGAATATTATAGCCAGTTAATAAATGAATGTAACTGGGCAACATTAAAATATTCCAACTGAAAATGATCTACATTTTCTGAATTCAGCAAAAGATACCAGGAGAAATATTAACAACCACTAACTAGATGAACAGCATCGTACAGTTGCAGAAACATACATGCATTTCCATAGTAACTTCTCTTACATATACATATTCTATTTTTCAAATGCGCTTCCCTATATAAAGTTCTTGCATGAGCATATGCATCTTTTTAAAGAAGAAAGAAGCAGTAACATTTCTGAAATAATACTACCACAATGAGATCCTGGTCTTGGTCTCCCTTGCTTTGACTTGGGGTGGCAAGGGTGGGGAGAAAAGCCATCTGCCCAGTAAATGATAGGTTCTCTCCAGAAAGAAAACACTGAATTTATACTTAGGGAAACCCAAATTCTTTAAATATAATTCGATTACATGTCTGATTTTAAAATTGGATTTTTCCTACCATTAATTTGAACTGTCATTCTTTGGAATCATTAGATGTCTTTGGAAAAAGTACAACCTAACTGTATTAGAGTAAAACCAGGCTATAGCTAAGTAACTTTTTTATTTTTTTCTTTTCAGTAAATGTAATTTTATTCCTGCTGGTGAGCAGGTCTGTGTGTTTGTGTGATTAGACAGTGTGACTGATTTCAGCTTTTTTGCTTCTGCTCTGCACAGTGTACAGATGCATACAAGTGGCATAGATGGCCCTCAACGAGAAAGTCATTAGCTTAATAGTAATTCCTGACAGATTTGGAATGAGATATTCCAACAGATATTGCAGTGGCTCCTGGGGTACATAAAAGGACAATTTTATCTTCAAGATGGGAAAGATAGAGTATGCTGAACTAAATGACTAGTGTGGTTTCTCAGGGACTAATTGTTAAGCAGGAGTATTTACGATCAAAGGATTGGAGAATGGGACTATCATTGTGAAGCAATTATCTATACACAAATAACTTTAATACTTTGGCATTTTTATAACCACTACATAATTTATTTTACTATATATTCTATTGCAATACCATTCCCCTGGTTACAAGTACACAGTACTTGATACTTTTTTTCACTTCATATAAAATTAAAACAAAACGGAAGAACACTTTGAAATGAGTTGAAGAACAATAGGTCCTATTTACCCATCAAATACAACAGTATTTAACTTTTGTGCTTTTGATCAATATTTATGTGACAAGCTATTAATTACTCTTCTCCTCTACCAGTTTAATGCTGTTGTTCTTCCCACAGCCTGTTCTGCACTTTTGTGTATTTAATTTATAACAGTTTCCATGGAAAAGAAGTATTCAAAGAAAAAAAGTGCTGATACAGAACGTGGATCTTTCTACCAAACCACAAATCTTTTCTAATGTTCATCTTAAACTGAAGGCAATTCTGGGAAACAAATTAATGATATAAATCACATTATCATTACTCACATAAAGATACTCTGTTGTAACTCTTTCAGAAAGCTACAGTGAGTAGCTAAAAGAACTCTATATGGAGAATGCCTGTTTCTAATTAAATGATCTAAAAATAGAGTTGCACATACATCTAGAACCATGCCATCTGTGTTATCTCTCTAAGATAAGCTATTATACACTCACAATGACATCCCTTTCATCACTGCAGATACTCAAAACTAGGACTGGCCCTTCTTTCCCATTTAGGAAGGGAAAAAGAAAAAGGAAGCAAAATTTTAACGCAGACAGATTTTTTGAAAGTCAGATTCCTTGTTTTGAAATCTCTTTTCACACCTACTTCTGTCAATCAGCAGCATGATTCAAAACCGTGTCCCGCAAATGGTGACAGTAGTCAAATAGCATTTCTCCATGGAACACTTCTCAATGTAGTAAAGAAAGCTGTTTCTAATGGGCTGCCTGGGCTGTTTGCATTGTTTGTGTGTGATGGTTTTTTGCTTGCCTTTTTTCCTTCTCTCTTTTTTTTTTTATCTATTTAAAAATTTAACGTTTTCCTCCTCATTCTGACAATTAAAAGTACAATATAAAAAGAAAGCTGCAACAGTACTGGACCTGAGTTAAAAAGGTTGGGTAAGAGATGCCCGTGACATCTCTGGTGATAATAAACAACCTGTCTTCATACTTCAAGCAGGAGACCAAGGAGACAGAAAACAGCCCTTTTCTCCTAAATACAGCTACCCGTATTATCTACCAATGTCTGAGGGGAAAAAAAAAAAAAAAAAAAAAAAAAAAAAAAAAAAAAAAGAGGAAAGCTTATCAGGTCCTGTCAAGAAGGGGAAACAATCCCTGCTTAGTCAGAGCCAGTGACAGACTAACCCCTTGTTAGGCAAAGAAAAGCAGAATGTGAAGGGAGGCTCGCCCCGGATTCCCTCTGCAATACGTGGGATGACATTTGGGGACCATCTCCCATGACTGGCTTCAGGTAATGCCTCAGGCTACAGTCAACAAAGCAACATTATTTACACTTTTCCTTCAAGTTCTTGCTGTCAGACTGTATTTCATCAAACAAACTTCTTTGTTTTATCTGTCCCTCCCTCAGTTTTGAGGCTGTTTTGCTGTTGTATGATACAATCTCAAGCAATGTATGTTAAACTCTTTAAAGAAATTATTTCACTTGAAGCTTCCATTTCTGTCATCAGAAATAAGCACGCCACTTTACAGTAAAAAGTTATTAATTTCAACCAAAAACCTTATCCATTTTCTTAAATTAGGTAAGTAACAATTTCAAACAGCAGACTCTCTAAAAAAATATAGAAAATACTCTTATAGCAAATATCTTGAAGTAAGGACATTTACTTTCCCCAAAATCCTTCCAACTGTTATACATCTTGGAATAAAATAATAGGCAAAATGAAGACTAACCTTTGAATAAATGCCATTTACTGGTCTCCACTGTTCTCCGTTCAAAAGGAAGGGAATTGTTATCTCGTAATCTTTTGAATGGTTCTTTGGCATCCACTGTCTTGAGGACTCCAATTTGCTGTCCACATTCTCACCTAGGGACAGGGAAAAGGACTTCATGTTAGTCGGGAACAGCATCTGATAACATGAACCTTGTTATTTAAAGGACCTGGCAGCATATTTCAAAGTGAAATCATTCAGGAAAATAATTAAACATTAAAACATTATAGGGTCATACTGTCAGTGTCAAAACCCACACAGATTTCTAAGAGAGCTGGGGTTCTGGAAGAGAAGTGCCAAGGCTGATTGGATGGTGTGCTTCTGTAGCAGCAGCAGATAAAAACTGGTCAGAAGAAGTAGAGGTACCAGGATGCAAAAATAAGGAGTTGGAATGCAAGACCTAAATAAAAATTGAGAGGCTTTGGCACTACTATTTGAAGTATTACATTAATCATAGCATCACAGAATGGTTTGAGTTGGAAGGGACCTCAAAGCCCCCCCAGTGCCCCCCCCTGCCCCAGGCAGGGCCCCCTTCCCCCAGCCCAGGGGGCTCCCAGCCCCGTCCAACCTGGCCTTGAACCCTTCCAGGGAGGGGGCAGCCACAGCTGCTCTGGGCACCCTGGGCCAGTGCCTCACCCCCAAACAGGGAAAAATTTCTGCCTTAGAGCTCACCTAAATCTGCCCTCTGTCAATTATAAATTGTTACCCCTTTGTCCTATCACAACATGCCATTGTAATAACCATACTAGGGTTTGGATTTTTTTTTCCACTGAAGATGATACCCAGGGGGAATGTGGCAGGTGACCATCTTTTCAGTGTCATCACCAAGAGGATAGGCAAACTGCAGGAATTTAAAAGAGATAAGATTTGATCAGGACTATTTTCCCATAGTTCAGGTAAGAAATTAGCCCTGATCATTCCACTCCCCAATCCCTTTTCTCCCCATCCCTCTTCCCAGATACAGTCACACTGGATCAGATTCAAAGCAGAAGTGGTGCCCCCAGGGGTAACTGGACTCCTACCCTCCCTGGGGTGAACAAACCCTGCAGTTGCATGACACAGACACCCTCAAGGCAGACAGTGACTCCAGATCTTCCCATACATCCTTCCCATTTCTGCGATGGGGTCAGCTAGTCCTCACACTTTGCAAATTGGAGTCACAGCACAGATGTAACCACCCGATCTGGTGTTCCTGAAAGGTCCAATGTATGGTTGTACTCCACTTTAACTAACCTGAACTGTGCACAAGAAAAGACTGCATATTCCCTTAGCAGCCTCAGCATTTATATATGGACATACAAGGAGGTCACGAAGTACTGAGAACCCCATAATATCAAGGATGCATATTGTCATTAGCAGGAGAAAAAAAAAAAAAAAGTCTGGAAGAGAATATAAACTCTCACTGAAATAATGCTCTACTCCTACACAGTCAGATGACTTCAGTTCATACTAGGATGTCAAAAAGCTATTTCCATGCAACATTTATCAAGTGCTTTTCCTCTCACTAAACATATTAATGGTATTGTGCCCGTGAAAGCTGAGTCCTAAAAAACAGTATCATACTACAAGAGCTGGAAATGGTACTGAGAATAAATATTAAAGAGAAGATAGGGATGGCTTCCAGGTGCCATGGGAGAGAAAATGCTGGCGAGGTTTGCCACATTCTTGACCTGCCATCACACTGAGCCTCTGCTGCACTTGGACCCTGCAAGGATGACACCTGAGTCTTTGCAGGTGCTCTAGAGATGTGTCCATCCTCCATTAAGATGGAAAAAGGCCAGTGTCACCTTTCTTCCTCCTCCCCTGCATTGTCTTTGTGCTAGGAGGTGCAGAGGGAAGGTGGTGGGGCAGCATTTTAGCAGATAAACCATGGCTTGGGGATAAACTATGTATGGGAGTGAGAGGAGAGCTGTAGGGTCAGACCTGCCCACACAGCCCAATGCTTGGTACTGCCATCCCAGCATCCTGAGCTATCCCCTCTGGTCACCAAACACTCTCTAAGGATCAAGAGCTATGTTTTGAGCAGAATTACCCCAAATTAGTCACTGTTAGAATTATCTTAAAAACATCTATGCGGTCATTATGGTTAAACCAATGTGAGAAGAGAAGCTCGGTATTTTCCAGCAGGCTTTTATAAATACGATCCTTTCCCTAAAATACCAGAAATGGCCAAGATAAAAAGATAAACTGTATCGGGGAGAGGAAAGTTGTTTGTTGTATGGGTGTTCCTGTAGAGAAAGGGTTCTCACGCCACCCTCAGTGCAGCCCAAGCCCAAGTGACAGGGGTCAGTCTAGGAGGAGATGGTGTCATCCCTTGGAAGGGATGCTCCAAACCTTGCACACGAGCGGGTTCACCTCTGTGAAGGTGGGCGAGATATCATCTCGTCTGCCTAAGAGGGCTGAGACAGAACCTCACAGCTCTTTATTCTGATGATCAGGCCTGAAGCTCCCTGCATGGAACAGAAATTTATGAAGCGTATCTCAGAGAAATGAGAAAAGTTTGGCTGTAGCCCTGATTTTTTTTTTTTTTTTCTTGGCTCACCAGAGCAATCTCAACTATATGAATTAAATGACTCTGGCCCTTTTATTTTGTAGGATTTGCATTCTGAAAGTTTCATAAAATCTAAATTTTAAGGAACCCTACAAGCATAGTTTCCCACCCATGGATGCATTGTCTACATCACTTCCACACAGTCTTACACCATGGACCTGCAGCAAACATATCAGGAAGCATCAATGTCTTTCTGGTATTCCTACACATGCAAGTTGCCTTTCTTATTAATTCTGCAAAGCATTAACATCACAACGTTACTCAAAACAGAAGAAAAAGGGGAGTGATCAGCATTTGTGCACAGACGTGTTATTCCCTCATTACATGACATGGTCCAGAAAGTGCAACTGCTATAAAAATATCACAGGAAAATGGAAAAATATCTACACAAAGCGCAGTTCAATTTTTCCACTTCTATTCCATCATGACAAAGTGTCACTTGTGGTGCATAACAAAGTAAGGTTACAATGAACAAATTTAATCTTACACACATGCTTATTTATCTGCACACTGAAAATGCATATTGTGCAGAAGTGTTGATAGTCTGGAGACAGACATCAAGACAGGTTTATAGGCAGCAGTTATATCTTTATTGGAAAAGATAATTTATTTGGGGGAAACAAAACAGGCAAGCTTTAGGTTTTGCAAACTCTCCTGAAGCCATAGCGTTTATAAAACACAAGACCAATTTCTGTCTAGTTGCTCTCCTTCAGCCAAATATTTTGCTGCTTATCTGAATGTTTTTATTTAAATTATTGGGTGTGATAAAAATCACAGCTTCCTGCAGAAGGCGGAGAAAGCACTGCAGCCCAGTCACAGGGCCTCAATCTAAAGAGTACTTGGGCACATGCTTAATATTACGCGCTTGCTTAACTCCCAGCTGTCCTCCATGTGATATATGCACATTACAGGTTCTTCTGTAAATCAAAAACCATTTTTTTTTCTGATTCAAGGTCATTATATTTACGTACTATGTATATTTCTGAAAGACTGAAAAAAAGAAATCTGCATAATAGGTAAAGTCTTTAAATATAAAAGTAGGGGGGAAGATAAAAAGCTAAATCCTTTAAATAACATTCTGCAGCCTGATTGTAAAGCTTCAAAGAACACGTTGCAGAAAATAAGGGATCACAGCCAACGAAGAGCAACCTACACGTATCCATCTGAGATGAGAAAGGTGACAGCATCTAAAGAGCCACTAAGCCTGACTGAACAACGGGACACAGACATGAGAGACATAAAAAAAAAAAAAAAAAAACATAAGAGGAGAATCAGGCCAAAAAAAAGTAGTCATAGAAATTGAAGTGTGCGGGAAACTGAAGAAATGGGACCATGAGATGTGCAGCCCCAGAGCAGTGGGGGGGCCTCTGGGTAGGTACAAAGGTGGGGCTGGCTGTTGGCAACCTCAGAGAGCCTTCGGCACACACGGCCCTTGCCTCAAAGTCAGAAACACCAAAGAATTTATCCCAGTGAGGGATACTTCACCCAGTCTCTTGGACAACGGCTGAATAAAACACTCTGCCAGTTTTCTCCTGTTGGTTTTGGGCCACCCATCTCCAAGAGTAAGCCCAGCCCTCCCAAAGAGCATCCACGGGGCACCAGGAGAGGAATGCGATGGGACGGGACATCTGTTCTAACGAAGGGTTTCCATCACCTTGATGGCATCCTGTGAGCTCCCAGTGCTGCAGTTCTTCATGTGCACAGACGTGCTGGTATTTCCTCTCTGCCACTCTTCATCTCCTTTACCCATTTTCATTACGATTTCTTTGAAGCTGGAACCATTAGAGTTGTTTGCATTACACTAATAACGAGGCCTCTTCTCTATGGGGACTCTTGGTATTACAGCAATATAAATAGTGTAATAATTGAAATCAGAGAATTTAAATTTCAGTAATGTGTCATGAGAGGGGAAGAAAATCAGGCCATCTGTACTACCAGAAACTTTTATTAGACCCAGCTTTCCTATCTTTTGTGTCACATGCACCTACTTACTCACCTACTTATTTTCCATTTCAGTGAAATTCTGTCCAGTTCCTCCTGATGCAAGCTCATCTCCCACTTTTTCACATGAAAAACTTCACAGTTGTGTCTGTCTGTTTTCTATTTTCAGCCTGCACTGAAGGTAACGTTTTTGATCCACAAGCAGCCCACAAGCTGATGTAGTGCCTTTTATTATTTTTTTTTTTCAGTAATATAAAAGATTCTTTGTACAAATAGTGAGATGAGTCGATGTTATCTGTCAGTGACTTTTGTCTGACTTAACTATTTTTTCATCTGCCATGTACTTCTACAACTTTTCTTCCTTGCACAGTATCATACAAGGACTTGTTGGCAAAGAAGTTAAGAATAGTTTTCATCTTTTTGCTTTGTATTTCAGTTCCTCTGAGTTCTGTGCAAAATAAACTCCAAGCATGCAATGTGACATCTTTGTTTAATGGCCACTGCCTCCTGAAGAAGCCCAGACACACTTCAGATTTGCATTTACTTAAAATTAATAAGCTTTTAGTCCAGCAGTGCAATTTATTTTGTCCTTATGATAAACAA